GGCCTCAAGCGATCCGCCTGCCTCAGCCTTCTAAATTGCTGGGATTATAAGTGTGAGCTGTTGCACCCGGCCAAGTCTCTGTCTTCTGAATGAGTAAACTGAAGCTCAGAGGATGTTAAGTAGCTTGCAGAAGACCATACAACTAATAAGTAGTGGAACACCGAATCTCAATTTAACAGTTTCAAAACCCTATCTGCGGCCGGGTGTGGTGGCTCACGCTTATAATCCCAGCCCTTTGGGAGGCCGAGGCAGGTGGATCACTAGGTCAAGAGATCGAGACCATCCTGGTCAACAAGGTGAAACCCTGTCTCTACTAAAAATACAAAAAGTAGCTGGACATGGTAGTGCGCGTCTGTAGTCCCAGCTACTCGGGAGGCTGAGGCAGGAGAATTGCTTGAACCCAGGAGGCGGAGGTTGCAGTGAGCAGAGATCGTGCCATTGCACTCCAGTCTGGGTAACAACAGTGAGACTCCATCTCAAAAAAAAAAAAACAAACCCTATCTGCTTTAAAAATCCCTTATCTATCTACAGCTATATAAATATCTGTACATCTAAGCGCCTGAATTAGATATTTTTTAGTTGCAAGCAGGGTTAGAATTGCCAAAAAGCCCTAATACAGTTGTTTGCCTCTAACTACACAGTAACCTATAGAGGGTCTGTCTCTGTTCTGTTTGTCCAGATAACTTATTTCATTGCTAATATTGTCCATGTGATCAGATTATTCAGTGGAGCATGTTTGAGTCACACACTCAGAGTAGGAAAAAAACATAAACTTACGGTGTTTGTTTTTTACTTAATAATTAACATAGAATTGTGACAGAATGTGTTGGGATTTCTTCCCACCACCAAGCAAGTAATTAATTTTGTAGTGGACATTAGCTGAGCATCCTTTAGTGTTTTTTAATTGTTATTTATTTATTTATTTTTGAGATGGAGTTTCGTTCTTATTACCAAGGCTGGAGTGCAATGGTGCGATCTCGGCTCACTGCAACCTCCGCCTCCTGGGTTCAGGCAGTTCTCCTGCCTCAGACCCCTGAGTAGGTGGGATTACAGGCACGCGCCACCATGCCCAGCTAATTTTTTATATATTTAGTAGAGACGGGGTTTCACCATGTTGACCAGGATGGTCTCGATCTCTTGACCTTGTGATCCACTCGCCTTGGCATCCCAAAGTGCTGGGATTACAGGCTTGAGCCACTGCGCCCGGCCATTTTAATTTTTATTTTTAGAGACAGGGTCTTGCTCTGTCACCTTGGCCATAATGTAATGGTATGATCATGGCCCACTGCAACCTTGAACTTCGGCCTCAGCCGCCCTAGTAGCTGGGACTACAGGCGTGCACCACCATGCTGGGCTCCTGATTTAGTTTTACTTCAACACTATCTACTTGGAGGTAGTGTCAGATATCACAGGTTGAGGGCTTAGTCCTCCAGACTGCCCCTACCCCTAGTAGGTGTCAGTTTTAAGTCTTAGGTTATATGATCTGTCCTTTTGATCAACTGGTTATAAATCAGAATTCCCAAGTCCTCCATTTTGGGTTTAATTTATGAGAGTACCTCACGGAACCTAGAGAAAAATGTTGATTATAAAGGATATAGCTGAAGAGATCTGTGGAGTGAGGTATGAGGAGGGAGACTGCAGCTTCGATGCCCTCTCTGGGCATGCCACCCTCGGGGAACTTTCATGTGTTTAGCTATCTGGATGCTCTCAGAACTTTGTTTTTTGGAGTTTTAATAGAAGCTTTATTTTATATAGTCGTAATTGCTTAAACTATTGACTATTGCTGAGCAACTTAACTTTTAGCACCTCTCCCCGATCCCTGGAGGTTGGGGCAACAGTGTGGGTACAGATAAAGGTCCCAAGCTTCTAATCTTGTCTTGGTCCTTCTGGTGACCAGCCCCATCTTGAAGCTGTTAATACTTAGGGACTGTCAGCTGTCACTCATCTCGTTAGTATACAAAAAGACATCACTTTGGGGTTTTTAAGGATTTTCGGAGCTATACTTCAGGAAACAAGGTTAAAGACCAAATACATAAGATCATAATTTTGTAAATCAGTGTTCTCTAGATTTTACTGAGAGGTGAAACCGATGTATGTAGTAACCCAGACTCCCCCACTAGATAATACCAGCATTTACATAGAGTTTAGAATACCCCTGTTGAAAACTGATTTCTAAGTAGGTCAGGTCACAGTAGTTTGTTAGTAGGAATAGTTCCTTGTCTTAGAATCACTTCCTCCTACTCTGAAGGGAAACTCAAATGGATTTAGTTCTTTCTAAAAAATGCTGTGCTGTATTTTATCCTTTTTTTCTGCTGGCTTATTCATTGTATCCCAAACCCTGTTCTCATTGCTTCAAGATCATTGGTATCTTTCTCCTTAATTTTTTTAAGATTCTGACACTTTCAAGCATTTCCCAGTTACTGCCAAAGCTTAATGAAGTTAAAAATATTTGCAGTGTGGTATATAATTTTTGTTTTTGAGACAGAGTCTCACTGTGTTGCCCAGCCTGGAGTACAGTGGTATGATCTTGGCTCACTGCGACCTCCGCCTCCTGGGTTCAAGTGATTCTCCTGCCTCAGCCTCCCAAAGTGCTGGGATTACAGGCACCTGGCCCAGTGTGGTATAACTCACTTCCATAGAGCTCTGCAGCAGCTTTTGATGAGTTCATATAACTAACAGTTTCCTGCTTACTCATCTTAAAAAGTTTCATCTTCATGTGGTCTCTTTTTTTCTTCTGCTGTCCCTTCCTCTTCCTCTTTCTCTTCTTTAAAGCAGCAGGTTGTTTTACTTCTTGATTAGAGTATTTTCACAAGTGGTCACTGTTTTTGAGAAGTCTCCAAGAACTCGGTCAAGATTAGATCATTGTATTTGCTTGAAAAGTCAAGCCTTGGCAGGAAGGTGATTACTGAGGCAGTCTTGTTAGATATACCTGCATTGCATGTACCATTTCCAAATTTTAGCAGACTAAACTGTGCAGCATTGTTTGAATTTCCCCCTCCAACTCACTCTGGCTATTAATCTGCCTTAGGACATGGGTAGCTGGTTGTTCTGATTGTTATATACCTGGAGTATATAGACCTCCAGTCTCTGGAGGGAAGAGAACTCAGACCTGGTAACTGAGAGCAAAATATTTATACAGACACAAAAATGGGGGTGGGCAGGAAGGGAGGGTTGTAACTGAAAAAAGGCAGACCAAAAACAGTTTTGACAACTTAAATTTATTGTAACTGCCCAACAAAGGAAGTAGACTTGGAGGTTTATCTGCAAGAGTGGTTTTTTTCCCTCTAACTCTTAACTCATTATTATTTATTTACTTTTATTTTTTGAGACAGTCTTGTTCTGTCACTGAGCCTGGAGTGTAGTGGTGTGATCTCTGCTCACTGTAACCTCCGCTTCCCCGGTTCAAGCAATTCTCCTGCTTCAGCCTCCTAAATAGCTGGGATTACAGGCAACCATCAACACGCCTGGCTAATTTTTGTAATTTTAGTAGAGATGGGGTTTCGCCATGTTGGTCAGGCTGGTCTCAAACTCCTGACTTCAGGTAATCCACTCACTTTGGCTTCCCAAAGTGCTGGGATTATAGTTATGAGCCATCGCACCCGGCCTTAATTCATTATTGTTAATATTTTTGAGACAGGGTCTTGCTGTATTGCTCAAGCTGAAGGGCAATGGCATGATCATAGATCACTGCAACTTCAGCCTCCTGCGCTCAAGCAATCTTCCTGTCCCAGCCTCCCGATTAGTGGGACCACACTTGCATGCTACCATGCCCAGTTAGGCTCTTTTTTTTTTTTGTAGAGACAGGGTCTTGCAATGTTGCCCAGGCTGGTCTCAAATTCCTGGGATACAGCCATCCTCCGGCCTGGGCCTCCCAAAGTGCTGGGATTACAGGTGGGAGCCACCAGACCTGGTTTAGCTCCACCTTTTAATAGAGAATGATAAGCAGGTTGAAAATGGTGGGGTGGGATTGGAGAAATGCATCAGTGTAAAATATTTTTAAACTTGGGCCCCATTTTGAGAGTCACATGGTTATTCAGAAAAGGATCTATTAGTAGCATTAACCAAGGGAGAAAGATAAGCTGTGGGGAAAGGCCTAGTGATTCAGAGGAGTTGGAACACCAAACATTCTCCATAGCTTGTCAGGAACATTTGTGCAGACCTCTGTAATATACAGAGAAGGAGTTCGTCTACACCAGCCCAAGGCCTCGGCTCACCTCCCTGATCCTCAGGGACGCACGGTCAGATGGACGCGTTATTTCCTCCATTAAGCGGACTGCGCTCTGCGCTTCCAGCGGTGGAGGCGTTGTCCACTTCCACCTGGCGGGCACATGTCGGAGGCTGGATTTGAACCAAGAGTTACCTGTGTACCCAACGCCTTTGCTTTTTATCCACTAGGCGGTAACGTGATTTCACATCCGAGAGTTTTTTGGCTGAACAAGTTGGAAATCACTGGTTTCAGAGATTGGAAATCACCGGGTGCACGCCCCTGGATTCTATCTCCAGCCACTCGAGGTCGTTGATGCTGGCCTCGACGTCCCTATCTGCACAGCGCGCAGACACCACGTACCGGGCCCCACTCCCACCGCCCCAGCCTACCGGGCTCTCAGGCCTCCCATGGGCGGTGGGAAAGGAGCCTCCGGGCTGACTCTGCACGACGCGCATGGCTGCCAGGGGAAGGTATTGTCCTTAAATCCCGAGCGGCGCTGCGCGCAGGGGAGCGATCTTAGACCGCGGCGGAGCAGCGTTGATCCCCGGGGCGGGTCGCGTTCCAAGGCGAGCACTAGTCCTACGAGCATAGTGGTCACTAAGAAGTCATTAGAAAATTGGCAGAGGGAGTCCTCGGGATCCGGGTCCCTCTGTGCCTCACGCCTCCCTCCGGTTCCTTCCGCACCCCGGGGCGACGCAGACCCGGCCGGGGGAGCCCGGGGGAGGGGGCCTGGGCGGGGCGGGCGCGCGTGCGCGAGCTGTCAGGCTGGCCCCGCCCCCGCGCCCCTCCTCTCGCGCCCCTCCCCCGCTCTCGGGTGTAGGGCGGGCGGGCGCTGCGGCGGCCGCGGCTGCTGCTTCCTCGGGCCATTTTGCTGTGGCGCGGCGGGGAGGAGGAGTCGCCGAGGAGACCCCGGGAGAGGAGCTGCGAGCCGGAGGAGGCCGCGCGGGCTCCGGGCTTTCCGCGGTCTCGGGGATCTCGGGGGGCAAAGGGATCGCCGGGGAAGGGGACCGGAGAGCCGCGCGGAGCGCCCCTTCGCGCCCCCTGCACCATGAGCTGGGGCACTGAGCTCTGGGTAAGTGAGGGGCTGGGCCCGCGGGCAGATGCGGGGCGCGCGCTGCATTTCCCTGCGGCCTGGGGAGGGGGCGCGGACAGCGCTGCCGGGCGGAGGCGAGGGCGCGCTGGTCTGGGTCTCCGCGGCCTGGGGAGGAGGCGGGGGTCCCTGTGCCCCTCGTCGGCCTTGGCCCGAGCGGGAGCTGCGGGCCGGTTAGTCCTTCGGAGGCGAGGGGAGTTGGTGCTGGTCCCCGGCGGCCTGAGGAACTGCGCGGGCAGGCCTCCCTGTCCCTGGCGCCCCGGGGCGGGCGGTGTGTGTCGGGCAGAGCCCTAATCCCCCGGGGCGAGCCGCGGATGCCCGGGGAGGGCTGGGACCAGGCGTGGGGGCGTGGGGGCGTGGAGGCCCCGGCGGCGCGGCGCTGCGTTGGGTCTCTGGGCGCCCGGGCCGCGAGTTCTGTCCTGGCTCCGCGGAGGCGCTGGCTGACCGCGCGCTCCCCCGGGGGCGGGGCGGCCTGGGCGGGCTCCGGGTCGGGTTTTGGGGTGCCGGAGCGAGAGTGTGGTCTTGGCTCTGGAGACTAGGACTTCTGGCCCGTGGCGACTCCGCGCACACTTATTCTCTCGGGGTAGCTCGGATCCTGAGTGGGATGTGGGCACTGCGACATCTGATCCGGAGGGGAAAGTAGTGGGAGTTGGGGAGAGATCTTACGTGATCTCCCTCAGGGAGAGGTGTTCTCGGGGTCAGTGATCTTTAACGGTTGCTCGGAGGAAAGTTTCCAATGGGGAAGGTTGGCGGCGAGGGGCACCTCGCAGAGATGCTTGGTCGTGGGGGTGCGCACAGTAAACGGGCAGCCCTTGGGGCTGAGTGCGTGCAGGGGGTGCCAGGGCGGCGACGAGCGGTCCGGCTGTGGATGGAGCTCTATCCTTGCCCTCCCAGGATTCCTGGGGAAATCACTGGGCAGGGGACGGGCAGCGAGGCGACCCTGGAAGGAGCAGACGAAATCTCAGTTACTGCACTGAAATGCCCTCAAGATGAGCCATTTCCCAGACGAACTCTGAAGTGTCTCACTACCTTTTGGAATTCTATTTGCAAAGGGTGTGGAGGAGAAAGTGTAGGGTGGTATTGAGGCCAAGAAATCTCATGTCAAAATAAAACAAGGTTAGAACAATTACGGAAACAGAGCGCATCCTCCCTTAATTGTGTGTGTGTGTGTGTGTGTGTGTGTGTGTGTGTCTGTGCGCGCTCGTTTGCTTTAAGTGTTTTTACATAACCATTTGTTAGGTTCAGAAGCAGCTACGGTTGTTATTACCAAAATCCTGAGGGCAGTAGCTCCTTTAAATTAAGATAATTCCTTTTATAAACATCTTCTGCCTAAAAGGGATTCATGACAGAATTTCCGCTGATGTTTACAAGTATCAATTTGAAAATAACATAGTTTAAAATGTTTGCACACACCGGTTTAGGCAAAAATCGACCACTTTGAGTGCTGTATTGAAGTTTCTTTCCTCTTCTAATCCTTCTCTCCCTTTAGCTGTCTTTAGCTTATCTGGGGTGGGGAAGCAAATCAGAAGAAATGTTTATCAAGATGTAGAAATTGTCGTACAATTTTTTTTCACTTGTTCAAACAGGAGAATGAAATTAAGGAGGGAAAGGGTACAATATATTTCTGAGTGAAATAGGGACCGAACACAATATTCTGTGATGTTGGTAAATGGGACAGAAGATAATCTCAAAGAGAGGGAGTGGCTATGAGCAAAACTGCTAAAACAGCAGCAATTGCCTGCATTATTCTGTACATTTCTTTTTGAGGGTGGAAGAGTGGGAAGGAAGGCAGGGTTAGGAGTGGTTGAAAATAAATGAGGCGGGACGCAGTGGCTCGGGCCTGGAATCCCAGCACCTTGGGAGGCCAAGTCGGAAGGATCACTTGAGCCCAGGAGTTCAAGAACAGCTTCGGCAATATCTTGAGAGGCCAGCTCTTTAAAAAAAGCAAAAAGAAAATAAATGGGAACTGGGATATATACAAATATAAATGATATGAAATCTTAGATTTGCTTCATAATTTGAGTTGTTAGTAGATGGGAGACCGTGAAACAGAGTTGCCTGTTACCGAAGCCAGTTGCTTGGTACAGAAGGGTTCATTACACTATTCTTTGTACTATGTATATTTGAAATTTTCTACAATAAAAATTGGAAATAATTTTTAAAGAAGAGTGTGAACTATTTGTAATTTTTTCACTTGATAATTTTATGAGGAAGAATGAATTAGTTAACAGTTCTGTATATGCAAGTGTATGGCAATAAGGAGTTTTAAAATACTTTTTTTTTTGAGATGGAGTCTCACTCTGTCGCTCAGGCTGGTGTGCAGTGGCATGATCTTGGCTCACTGCAGCTTCTGCATCCTGGGTTCGAGTAATTCTCCTCATCAGCCACCCAAGTAGCTGGGACTACAGGTGCCCACCACCATGTCTGGATAATTTTTTTGTGTATTTAGTAGAGACGGGGTTTTGCCATATTGGCCAGGCTGGTCTCAAATTCCTGACCTCAGGTGATCCACTTGCCTCAGCCTCCCAAAGTGCTGGGATTACAGGCGTGAGCCACCATGCCTGGCCTTGAAAAAAGACATGAGTACCAGCATTTGCCTTTGAGTAGCTTGTAGTTTAATATAGGGAAAGGAATGAACACACGATTGCACTACTAAGAGAAATGAAAAATTGAAGTTTTCAGGTGAAATGCAAAGATGTGTAAGGCCTAGTAGCTTTTGAGATTAAAAAAAAAAAAAAAAAAAACTAGAATAATGAAGGATTATGAAAAGTAAGCCCCAATTTCTCCAGTGGTCAGACTTGGTGATGTGCGGTGCATGGCTAGCCCAGCGGAGGGCAGTGATTAAGGGTTTTCCTTGAATGGTGGCTTTGGAATCATGCACATGTATAATGAGATAATGATGGGGCACTAAAGCCAAACTTGGCAGAATTATTCTTCTAGATGGAGAAAGACAGAGCTATGGTTTGAGTGGCCATGAGTTATTTGTAACTGGTGGTTGCAGCTTTCAGGGACCTTCACAAATACTGTTAGATTTTACATACATTGTAGGACTTCAGGTTAGCGTCAATATAGGCTTTTACAAGCTAAAGGTTTCTAATGTGCATTTTACATTAAAGGCCTACTCCTAAGCCACATCCTGCTTTGTAGAGGGAGTACAACCTTTCTCTTCCTCTTTCTTTTTCACTTTTTTTTTAACCCCTCCATAGAAATAAACTTTCTTCTTCTTCTTTTTTTTTTTAATTTTTTTGAGATGGACTTTTGCTCTTGTTGCCTAGGCTGGCGTGATCTCAGTGCAACTTCCACCTCCTGGGTTCTAGTGATTCTCCTGCCTCAGCCTCCCAAGTAGCTGGGACTACAGCTGTGCGCCACCATGCCTGGCTAATTTTTTTTATTTTTAGTAGAGATGGGTTTTCATGCTGTTGACCAGGCTGGTCTCAAAATCCTGACCTCAGGTGATCCGCCCACCTTGGCATCCCAAAGTGCTGGGATTACAGGCAGTGAGGCACCTCACCCAGGCTTAAGTGGCCATTTTGAAGTAATTAGGTTACAGTAAAATAGTTTACAGCTGTTTATAACATTGCCTTTTAATCAATTTTCAAAATTTTTATTGAACAACTACTGTGTGCTAGACACCAGCCTGAATCTATTGTAAGTTACCTTGTATACATTGAAAGATAGCTATGTGGAAGCTTATAAAGTAGGTTTTACCTCTAGCCTATAACATCAGAGTCAAAAGAAAAAATTAATTTTTTTTTTTTTGAGACGGAGTTTCGCTCTTGTTACCCAGGCTGGAGTGCAATGGCGCGATCTCAGCTCACTGCAACCTCCGCCTCCTGGGTTCAGGCAATTCTCCTGCCTCAGCCTCCCGAGTAGCTGGGATTACAGGCACGTGCCACCATGCCCAGCTAATTTTTTGTATTTTTAGTAGAGATGGGGTTTCACCATGTTGACCAGGATGGTCTTGATCTCTTGACCTCGTGATCCACCCGCCTCGGCCTCCCAAAGTGCTGGGATTACAGGCTTGAGCCACTGCGCCCGGCCAAAATTAATATTTTTATGTAACATTAACCAAAATACATTTACTCAAGACTTGTTAAAAAGGCAGTGTTAGTAAGGTAAATATGTTCACTGACTTGTTGAGGTTGTGGCTGGTTGTGGGAGAAATGGCAAAGCAAGAGTTGCTTACATTTGGATTTTTTTTTCTTGCCTACTTATTGAGGGAAGTGACAGGTTACTGAAGTGTTAGTTCAGCTTTTTATTAGCTTGCTCATTAGTGTGAAGTATGAATAAATCTACTGGAAAGTTAAGCCTGCCTCATAATTATTCAACTCTTCGCAGCTAACAAATTATTCAGTGACAGAAGCTGGTTTTGCTGTCTCCTAGTATCCTCTCTGTCATCTTTATTTGCTCTGGTGCTAATGAGAAATGAAGTAGATACAAGGAAGAGAACAGAGAAACGTGAGTGATGCATATTGGTTAGCAGAGTAAGAAGCCACCTGTGTTGATTGTATGTAATTTTTTTTATCTGTGATTTTTAGAACCATGCCAGGCATATAATGTACATTCAGCTGTTGGATATGTTGACATTGATTGTGGTGTGCACTTTCAAGAGGCAGCCGCGTGAGGACTGTCTACCAACTGTACTGGAAACAATGCCTGACTCAGTGTAGGAGTTCAGTAAATATTTATCGGATGAATGAATAAATCCCTTTTTTTTCCTTTTGTTTTAACATTTGCTTTTTAAAAATAATGGGAAGATAATTATAACACCTTTCTGAACTTTGGCACTTGTAAAAAAATATATAATTCTAGTTGTGTTTTTGGTAAATAGACTTTATCTTTTTAAATTTTTTATTTTTTAGGGACACAATTTTGTTCTTGTTGCCCAGGCTGGAGTGCAATGGTGTGATCTTGGCTCGCTGCAACCTCTGTTTCCCAGTTTCAAGTGATTCTCCTGCCTCAGCCTCACGAGAGTTGGGATT